TTACTACACGGGTTTCTGGTCTTGCGACCGTCTTCAAGTAAAAGCGGAGATTTCCACATATTATTAAAATAATTAATTTTTTCCTTATGTTCAATGTTAAATATTCTCGATATGAGACATTCTCTGTTTGTGTGTTGGTAATCCGAATTTCTTTCTTATAGACTAGCTCTTACTTGGGGTCGAATAACAAACTGTTTTAGGAAAATATGTAACTGCTCCAAGCAGAAAAGTTATGTGATTTTAATATTTGTATTTAATGTAAGTAAAGTGAATTTGAGAGAAAGATAGAATTTCTCGCGTATCGATCAAGAATCGAAGTAAGACACAGTTACTTAAAAGGCTATTTTAGTTTTCATATGATGATTTTTAAATGTTTACATCATTTACCATGCCTAGTGTAGCCTGACATAAGGCCATATGAAGGAAATGAGGATAAGAAGACTGTGCTGCGCCAAAATTCTGCTCACCCCCATGGATTTGAACGATAATAAGAGTGGGCGATATATCAGGAACTGTTGATAACTTAGATTCAGTCAGTTATGTGTCATGTGTGATACACACTTAAAAGGATCATGTATTTTTTGATAAATGACTGACGAGGCAGATTTTTTTCTTGCAGTAGGTTGTCATGTTTTTTTTCTGCGGTAGACCAGTTGCCATCCAAAGCTATAGAACCCGGTCTGTCCTGCTATTTAACGGGTAGTACGGTTACGACACTCAGTCAGTTATGTGCCATGCGTGATACACGCTTAGGCGATCATGCATCTTTCGATACATGACTGACGAGGCAGATTTTTCCCCGCAGTAGGTTGCCATATCTTTCTGCGGTTGACTAGTTGCCATCCACCGCGTCTGTCCTACTATTAAGCCATAGCTTGAGAAGAAGAGGATTCATACCTTTCCCAAGGGTATTAGCACGTAAGTGAATGTAATGGATTCGACTGGAATCGAACTCGGCTCTCCGATTCCTCAATCCGAGCCGCTATCCATTATTTGTGAAGTTTTCGTTAAAAACAATGTATTTTTTAAACGTAACCCCGCGTGACCTTTCGTTTGTTATAAAACTTCCTTTTTGTGCTAAAGAGATCTTTCGCCACACTGATTATTTTATAAGTATTTTTAATGTCGCATTTTCTATATTATTTTAGAAGAATACGATGTAGGCGATCATGCCTCTGTACATATAACTTCTTTTTAATTATCTGTGAATAGATAGTGGAGTATTTTCTTGTTGCTTGCTCCAGTTTTGAAATCTTCCATTAAATTGGTTGCCAACCAAGGATTGAGAGCGAGGTCTACCCACCCATTAGGTGATGGTGAATGGCAAAAAGAAATGCATTTCTTAAATGGAGATAAGAGAGTAGGTCACCTGCACATCCACAAGCATTTAGGAATAAATCTTTTTAGCTTAGGATCCGTAAAGTATCTGTGCGCTCAGCATCGGCTCAGAGTGCATTATCTATAAAAATTGGTACACACACACACACACACACACACACACACACACACACACACACACACACACACACACATATATATGTATATATATACAGTAATGGATAGTGGCATGGATTGAGGAAACGGAGAGCCAGTTCGAATTCCAGTCGAATCCATTGCATTCACTTACGTGTTAATACCCTTGTGGAAGGTGTGAATCCTCTTCTTCTCCCTCCAGCTATGGGTAAATAGCAGGGCAGACTGGGTTCTATAGCCTTGGATGGCAACTGGTCTAAGAGAAGGACAACTCTGAATTCAAAACCTGTGGAGGGTCGTTTGGGGACCTTGTGGCACGTAGTGCACCAGGTCTCTGGATTTGTCCCTTCAAAAAGTGTGGATGGTCCTGCACGAAACCTCCACCACTATAATCAAATCATATGTGCTGTTGTCCGGCTGTCAGTTTCCTGGAAACTGATCTGCTTGACCCTCATACGTCAGATTCGACGGGAGAGTCGAGTATATATATATATATATATATATATATATATATATATATATACATACACACACGCGAATATATACACACTTACACATATCATACTCACTCACTCCCTAATGAGCCAAATGATAACACACACCTACAGCAATACACACGCTTATACATATCATACTCACTAAGAACCAAATAACACACACACAAACACTAAACAGAGACACATCCCCTCTCCAGGAGCAATAAAACTGTCAAACTGACCAAAGGAATTCATAGAAGCATAGATCTATCCAGCTCTTATCTTAAATAACAACTTAAAAGAGACTGTTTGACCAACACAAGGAATGTTAAAAGATTCATGTTAAAAAGATAAAAAAAATAAAAAAACAAATGAAAACTACAAACAAAAGTTAATTTTCTCCATCAAGACATTCATTTCTGTAGTTTACTGCTACCAGGAAGCAGAATTATTTCTTCTCCTGGTGATGGCCATTTTGGCCGAAACTAGGAATCTAAATGAAATAATAATAAAAAAAAAACGAAAGAATATTAATCTACAACCCAGTGTGTCTGAAGATTTTAATTTTTTAATATTTTTTTATTGTTCAATATATATATATATATATATATATATATATATATTATTTTTCTTTCTAAAGAATTAATGGCTTTATTTTTTAATT